GTTCGATGTTAATCACTAATACTGCAGCTGGTTTTTCTTCACCCGCAGTTGGAACTACTCAATATGAACCAATTAAAATTTGTTTAAAAAATCATTAAAACATAATTTATGTGTTTTAATATCATTGGAAAATCAAAGCTATCAATGAAATAAAAATTATTGCACCCTGTTTTTCTTTTAAAGTTCTGTTGAGATGATGCATCAAGTAAACTTTCCTGTTTACAAATTGTGCTGAAATGATCAAGGACAATAATTTGTTAAGGATAATGTTTTAAAAAAGGGGCTTCTTTCTTTGTTCTCAATTTCAACGAATTATAGTTTAAGTGAACTACCTGATATAATCTTGCATGGAATTGAATGTATTGCTGCTGTGACTCAATGATTTAGCAATTTCGCCTTGAGTCATCTTTTATAAATTTACTATTTCGTATAAGACTTTTCGTTTGAGTGCGTTCTGTTTTTACTACACCTATTTGCTAAGCCTAGTTTCGTTTGTAAGCAACTCGCTATAACCAACCGAGCCTTGAAAACCCTGAACGTTTTTATATTTGAATAATGTAAGTAAAGAGACTCGATTTTGAAACAGCAACTGTTTAACAATTTCGAACATCAGTTAAATTGGGGATCATTTAGCAGATCAACGTAATAAAACTGACGCATAATTGATTAACAGATCGAAAAAAAAACGTTCAGTTTAAGGTCAAGTTTCCCTAAATAACACAGTTATTTCACGAATTGTTATCTTAACTAGCAACATCAAAAACAGAACAGTCTCAATTAGCGTCAAAACACATGTTTACGCGCACAATTACACATGTCGAATGTAAGAGCAGCGGATCAATTGGTCGCTACTAGCCAATTACGCGTTGGAAGCGGGGGCTATTCTCATGCGCGAAAAAACTTGTGTGCGAAAAACCGAAAACAAAATTAGCCGAAAGTCATTTTTTAAAAAGAAGCAGTTGCCATTCAATTAAATAGAAGTAAACGAAGAAACAGTTTGCTTCTTTCATTACTTGTCCCAATTTTGCGGCGGTCAATGACAATATTAAAGTTTTGCATGTTTTTGCCGTTTTTGTATTCGGCCAATCTCAATACCCCAGTCCCTGGAAATTTTTACTTTCTTTCCAAGTTTTAGATTACTGAAATGTGATTGGCTGATTTAGATTTTCGCGCATTCGGACCTTCGTGCATGAGGGATTCCACCGTCGGAAGCTAGTGTTTTCACCTGCTAATTGTTTTGAGTCTGCTAAAATATGGGGGCTATTGTCATGCGCGAAGGACCGAATGCGCGAAAAGGGGGCAGTACAACAGTGCCGAAAATGAAAACTTAGTTCAACAGTGTCGAAAATGAAAACTTTGTTCAACAGTGCCGAAAATTTGAACAAATTTCAACATATTAAGTGCGGCAATCAAAAAATTAAACAGCGATCGTTTACAATCTTAAGTGGCACTTAAAGACTTTGGGAGAGAAAATTTGCAATTTAGACGCTTTGGCGCCAAAATAATTGTTTAATTTGCTGTTGCAGACATTTTTGCGCCGAAATTGGAGTGATTTTCTTTGATAATTAGCGTCAGTAATTTCCCGCTCTTTAGAAAATGCGTGTAAATTATTCTGAAATTTTCCCGCCTTTTTCGGCACTGTTGTACTTCGGCACTGTTGAACGCCTCCGCGAAAACCAATCAGAAATCGTTTATTTTTCCACCGTTCTTACTGGAATAACTTTGACGATTTTAGATCGAAAACAAAAATAGTCGAAAGTCAATTATCGAAATGAATCAATTGCCAAATAGAACGAATCAAATGAAGTTGAATAATGTATACAAATACCAAAAAAAGTTACAAATTTCGAGAAACAACAGAAATGTTGTTCAAATATTGATCCAGAGTTAATACACCAGTTTCATATGAATTTTTTAACCGTGGCGTTAAGATATTTTGTTTCGTGTGTAACGAAACCCTTCAAACATTAAATCTGTTCCAATTCGTCGGCGGTCAGGGACAATTTGAAAACTTTTCCATTTTTCTGCCGTTTTTATATTCCGCCAATTCCGCGTTAATTGTCCCAAATAGGCCAAAATGGCTGTTTTTAAACCCCCATAACTCTACGAAAATTGATCACAGGTGAAATATCTTTTCAAATTTAAGGTCAAGACAACAATACCTTTTGAATGATATAAAGAAATCCCGTCAAAAATGGCTAGTTAAAAAGTCAAAACTTGTCGGAAGAAAAGAAACCACCCGAGCGCAAATATTCCTTTACCTTCGTTAAGAAAGTCGGAACAAGACTGCTCGTATCAGGGCGAAGCCTTGATTGTTCCGACTGCTTTTAAGGTTTATGAAGCAGTAATAACATAAACAACATAAAAACATTAAATGAAATAAAATAAAATGAACTTTTTTATTTTCTAAAATTTGAAATTTTTTCTCTAAAAATCATCCCCCCACACGCCATATAAAGTACAAAACAATAAATTTCGCTTCTAGTAACAATTCAATTAAGGCAACTAAGCTTCTTTCAAGCAATTTGGAACGATTTCTAAGACTGAATAAATCTCCGCTTACGCGTTAATAGCACGAAATATATCGCGCGTTAATTGTTCCAAAATGGCAATCTTTAAACCCCCATAACTTTACGGAAAATGATCACAGGTGAAATATCTTTTCAAATTGGAGCTCAGGACAGCAATACCTTTCGAGTTATATTTAAAAAATTCGTTAAAAATGGCTAGTTAAAAAGTCGAAATTTGTCGGAACAACAATAAATTTATTAAAGTTCATAATACATCACGCTAATTTTATAGAAAATACAACTTTAGCAACTTCGAAATGAAAAGCGACGAGACCAGTGGATCTGTAATTTGCTGATCCTATAGATAATAGATCATTAATTACCCTACAGATCATTATTGAGTTGTATGGTAAGCAGTTCGGAATACATAAATAACCTTTATGGGCTAATTACTACAATATAAATTGAGCCGATTATTTAGCCGAGGAAATTTTTAATAAACTCTGATTCTGGTTCATGCGTTCAAATAATTACACCATAGGTGCTTGTGATAAAAAGTAATTTACTAATTCCTGATTGTTCAAAAAGTATGAATTTTTTCATTCAGATACAAAAATCGACAGTTGATTTGCCTTTGTTGGGTTTAAAGCTATTGAATTAAGGGTATAATATAGCTTAAGCGATCGTGAACGTATCGAAAAACTTTCTATCTTTGTACGCGAAGGTGGTTGATAAAGATAGCCGTTGTTAGATCTGCGCCTTTTTTTTATTTTGAGTTTCAAAACAAAAAAACTTCACTTAAGTATGGTTCTGAATGAAGATTAATGATAGATCTAAGCACAGTTTCAAGTAATTTATAAATTTGAAGTTAGTAAACGGAGAGTATTTGGTTCTTAAGAAAAGTATCCTCTGAGCCATCTAAACTTTTCCGAAAACTTTGAAGAATTTTATTTTGCAGGCTGAAAATTAATTTAAGATTTTGAAATTTTGGCTTATAGCTATCCCCATCTCTATGGTTTCTAGTATGAAAAATAATTTAACGCTTAAGCGTAAGTGAATTTTGTACTTTGTAACGAATCTCCCCTATTGCAATAGGGGGAAATAGTTAAATATATTCATGTCAGTTTTCGTTTTGGTCGTGTTTTTTAAACTCGGCGAAATTATTCAGATTTATAGATGAATGTGGTCGTTCAGCGAAGACTGAATCTGTTGGTTGATCTCGTGCGTAGGTGGCCGAAGTACTCACTCGCAATCAGAGGTATGAGCAAGATGAGCGATGAGGTTGTGGCATCTGTGTCTGGCTCTTGTGGAGTGATAACTCTCAACAAACCAGCCAAACTCAATGCCCTCAACTTGACAATGGTGGAAGCAGTTAAGAAGCATTTAGTAGAATTTGAGAAGGACGAGACTGTTTCGACCATCTTGGTGAAGAGTAACAGTCCGAAAGCCTTCTGTGCGGGTGGGGACGTTCAGAGGGTCACTGAAAGTGCGAAAAACAAGGGCACGTACCATCGAGACTTTTTCTTCAATGTAATTGAGCATTTCTTCCGAAACTTATCTGTTTTTACACAAGCGAAGCTTGTGTTATACTATGAAATCTCTTTTTTTCCCAATCTAAGTCAAATTTTGTTGCGACAAAATGTGTTCATTTGAAAGTGTTCATTTTGATCAATAACCTGCTATTAAGAATACAGTCAATGCTAAGGATATTAACACAGACTATTATATTACAAATAGCACTTCAGCTTCGAGGTATCATGGATCTGTAGCATAGAGGTGGGGAAGGAGACCCGCAACAAAATAAGAGGGTTGGAACATGGACAGGGTCGGATGTTTTAATCAACTTTTCGTATACTAGCTAAAATGCGTCGACAATAAATTGAGCCATGTAAGTTAGTTAACTTCTTTTTTTTTGAAATTGACTGGTACTGTTAATGCGTCCTTATTGGCTTGCGTCACTTAGCAATTATGTAGACTCATAATTGGCGTGCGTCACTTAAGAATTTTGTAGTCTCAAAGTTTTACTCTAGTTCTTTTCCAGTCCCCCCCCCCTTCAAATTCAATTTAACGCTGTGAACGTTAATTGTATTCAGTTTTAATGAAATATAGCTGATGAACAAATCGACAACTGTGAACAGATTTGTTCTTCATACTTCACAGCGTAACATCACGCATTTAGCCGTAATAACACGGAAAATAAACATGAAGCTCGGTATTTTGAAAGTGGGGAACTGGAAAAGAGCCAAATGAATGAGTAAAACTTCGAGTCTACAAAATTTTTTGGTGATTTTTCCCAGCATTCAGTTATCGGTCACATTTTTCTTCTGTATGCGAAGTTCAATTTCGTCTCTGTATACATATCTAGTTTGATGAAACTCGGTCCTCAATTTTTCGGCCATAAGAAAAGGTTAAAAAATATAATTAAATACTTCAAAGAGCAATTCACAAATGTTGTAGATCAAAAATCAGAACTTAGTGAGCAATCTGGATTACATAAAGAAAGTCTTTTGGTAGAATTGCTTATTGAAGCAAAAATTTCATTTTCTTAGCAGCCATTTACAGAGCAGTTTTAATGAGTTGCATAACTTCAAAATAATCATTCCGTCGTTGTTTTGGTGAAATAAGACGGCTGGCTCTGTTAGAAAAACGAAGGAGTAAATGTGGTCTAAATTTCAGGGATAGTTCAGATGGGTTAGTGTGATGTCTCATTTAGGAATACGTGATGAACTTCATGATCGCCACGTGTTCCAAGCCCTACATAGCCCTAATACATGGAATCACAATGGGAGGGGGGGTGGGGCTGTCGGTACACGGCAAATTCCGAGTGGCTACTGAGACTTCGCTCTTCGCCATGCCAGAGACTGCGATTGGTCTGTTTCCGGATGTGGGTGGGGGACACTTCTTGTCAAGGCTACCGGTTGGTAGAGATTTATTTTCTATAAAAGAAAGTTGCCATTTTCCCTAATCCTAGGCTGAGAAGTTTTTATTTCTTATTTTGGTTTTGAAAGAAGACAATTTGATGTTGTTTTTTTTTGAATAAAAAAATGAGTTAGCTTGGTTATGATTGTCTAATAAACGCGAAGTGTTGTTTACAAAACGGTTATGATGTTGAATGAGAACGATTTATCTATTTAAGAACTACATTCTCCAATAGCAGGGGCGGATCTAGGATTTTCAAAAAAAAATTCGAAAATTTAACCGACCTTTTTTTTAGGTCGACCAGATTGATTTTCCGAGCTCTCCCAAAGCACTAAAAAATACCGTTTTGGGCAAACTTTCTGCGCCGCAGGCAGAATTTTGAAAAAAAGCGGGCCGAAAAAGGCGTTTTTAGGCCTTTTTTTGGAAAATTTTGACCAAAAAATTGCTTTTTTTTCGGCGCGCGCTCCCCCTCAAAATTAGTGTATTTTGGCGCCTTTAGAAAATTTTCAGGGTTCGCCACCAAACATGGATATCTCAAAATAGTACAAAGGGGTGACCGTTTGGGTCGGCAGGGGTCGAATCCCTGAGGGGTGGGGTTGTCCACCCCTGTCCGATAGCATGTTGATTGAGAGGCTGTTTGGCTCTAAATATTTTGTGGTTCAGTAAATCCGGTACTTTTTTCAGGGCAGCCTTGGAATGTATCTTGCCCTGACTGGACAGCGCCTGAAGGGGTATGATCTCATACATGCTGGAATTGCAACTCATTTTATTCTTTCTTCAAAGCTTCCTCTGTTAGAAACAGACATCTCTAATCTAAAAAGTGAGTTGTTATTTTTAGTTTTTGACAGATCTAGGAGCTTGGACACACATTATACGGAAAAGGTCACGAAAACATCAAAGGCTTCTAGTTTCAAAAGTTGAATTTAATTTTCAGATTTCCCAGCGGAATCAAAACTTTACTTATTGATCCAGTTTTCTCAAATGAGTTAATTTCATCAAAAAATAGTGAATCATAAATTGTTCTTGAAATTCAAAGAGCTTTAAGGCCTTCATTTTCACTTAGAAATTCGAAATTTGAACTTTTGAAAGTAAGTCAGTATACTTGTTCTGTTTGCATTCATTGATTCTTTTCCAACGGTCGATTTTTAATTCTCGAGAAACTTGAATATTTTCATGAGGTTTTGAAACTTCAAGAATGTAGGGCTCATTTTTCTTTTTGTTGTTTTTATAGGCTAAATGGTGCAGACGACTCATTTATGTTTCAGAGAGTGAGGATGTTTCAAAATCATTAAAACATGTGCTTGATGCTCATCAACAGCATTCAATTAGTGATATGGAAAATACACCCAACTTCACCATTAATGATAAACTTGCAATGATTTCCGATGTTTTTGGACAAAGCAGGTTTATGTTGTTTTTCTTTAATTTGCTTTTTGTGGCATGTTTTGTAGGATTTTAACAACATAAGATCTTAAAGCAATCAGCAGATTCAAGGTGCTGTCAGCGGTTTTCTGCTAAATGCCTAAAAGTAATAATAGCTTAGCTTCTAATAACGTATATTAATCTGATATCTTAAATAAAAAAGAGTCCATTGATCTGCCTTCAAAGCATTGAAGGTCATTATTGTTTCGGCTTTCGAAGAATTAAATGATAATCTTTTGTTATAGTATTGAAACGGTCTTTCAAAAACTGAAAGCTGATCAATCAGAATGGAGCAAAAAGACACTTTCAACTATGCAGAAATTTTCGCCTCGCTCTCTCAAATTAACCCACAAGCAGTTGAAAAAAGGAATCGATTTGGACATTGCTGATAATTTAAATATGGAATACAGATTGGCTGTTGGTTGCTGCGAATACGACAATGATTTCATAGAAGGCGTCAGGGCACTGCTAGTTGATAAAGACCACAGTCCGAAATGGTCAGCTTCGTCAGTCGACCAAGTCGAAGATTCTTTTATAGAAACGTTTTTCGGACCAGTCGATCATGAACTTGATGTTTTTGCAGAAAAAGTAAAACTATGGGCTTCTTGATTCGCTTTATTTTCATCCAAATAATAGTTGATTGTTATTATAATTATGCAGTACAATTCATGGGCATGGCGACAATGTGTCGCAAGCGACCATTCGTAGCATTTAAAAAAGTGACTATTTGCAGAACGCGATGACTCCTAGCAAGCGACAATTAGTAGCTGTAAAAGTTTTGATCAGATCAAAAGAAATTAGATGAAAGGGTTAAATTAAAGAAAAAAGAAACTAAAAATCGAAATTGAATTAGAGGCCATCAAGTTGCTTCAGAATATTATTGTTAGTATAATGCTTAAGGAGTTCAACTAATCTGGCTTGACTTTTTTTCGTATTTTGCCACCTTGGGGCATTGTTGGTTTTCTGCCTTCCATTTTTCGCGTTTTTGAACTGGTTACAGAGAGAAATAGGAAATTGCTCAACCATTCTGCGTCCTCGGTGTATAATTCTAACCCAAGTTGATTTTAAAAAAATCGACGTAATCAAGTAAGGGGACTCGTCACTTTGATCGGAAAATTCAGAGTGCAAAGCAGTCATACCGATTTCAAAGTTGAGTTCAGGTATCAGTGCCAAAGCAACGAATGACTTCAGAAGCATTCATTTTTTTCATCTTATCGATTCACTGATGCTAATCCAATTGGCCTGAGCGAAATGAAAAAAGCATCCTTTTATAGTCACTCCATTGAATACCTTCTCAAAAGCGTGAGTGCTCAAGTCCTGGGTTCATTTCTTTCAATTGTCTGAATGCCCGAATGTATTGCTCTTCGCTTTTGTTTTGAAGAAGAAAGAAACTGATGGAACAGTTCGAACGTTATCCACAGCATGAACTGTAAAATTTGGTAAAATAAAGCGGGACATGCTTTAAATGTCCCATCTGCATGCAAGACTGTGTTACTTCCCAAAGCTTCTAAGTTCTCGTCGGTGACAAATTTTAAAATTCGGTCTTTGTCATCCCACCCCGAATCAAAAAGGAGGAAATTATCCCCCTCAGAGGCTTGCTCAGCTCCAAAGGCACGGCATTGTCTTTGATTGAGTAGATGGCGGAATCAGTTGCTCGTTATCGCTGAGCAGTTCTGGCGAGTGACTTGTACTCAGGTAAGTTAACAACCGTTTCGAGGCTACTATCCCCAGAGTTTTCCATTTAAATGATCCTCGGAGGATCCAATGTTGGTTTTCCTTTCTGTTTGATAGCACGTTTTACCCTGAAATTTCAGTTTTATAACCGGCCAAGAAATTTTTTTTCGACCCCTAAAAATACCCCCAGTCTTTGAAAAATAGCCTGTTTGACGGGTTATTTTTTCCCTCTGGGTGTGGTCAATTTCCCTTACTCACAGAAACGCACGCCATGCAGTCAAGCTAATTCAACATTCTAAAATAAAATTAGAAATTTTTCAAGTTTGAAAGTTCAAGTTCGTGTTGTGTCAAAATTGTTGATCATTTTACTCGTTTTTCACTTCTTCCTCGCATGGAATATTTTCGTAGCATATTCTCCAGATGTGCTGACTATTTCATCCGCGATGGTGACATCAGAAGCTTTGCATGATATCGTGACTCATCGTCAGCTGGATTTATGGGTTGTTTTGTTGTGGCGGTTTAGATTGAAAGTTTCTCCTTCGTGGAAAACTGCTGTTTTCCTCGCTTGCTCATGACAAAAGTTAAAGGCATATTGATATCAGTAAGTGTAAAGATTTTCAAGAAGGAATTGAAACGAATGAATTGAAATTGAGGTCTTTTAGATGCTATTAATTTTTAATTACTCTTAATTTTACTGTTAATTCATTTCAATTTGGTATTTAATTCAAAATTGGTGCTATATTGAAAATTTTGATCGCTCGTTGGATTATATTCCCTCCACAACCACCGCAAAACATTTTGCTCAATTTGAATCTGTTTTTAATCCCCCCAATTAGCAATTAATCGTGCTGCTAATTGTCGTTTGCTAAAAGTCGACGCTTGGTGCGAATTGTCAACTTGCGACCAATCGGCGCTTGCGACGAAGTGTCGCCTCACGCAATTCATGCACCTGAACTTTCTTCGTTAGGTAAATCTAAGTCTAAATACTCAAATTACCAGCAAGGATAAGGTAGTTGTTGTGTATGTAACGCAGATTGTTCAAATCACTTCAAGTTATTAGTAGAAAGGCAAAAATAAAGACATTTTCTTCTAAAAAATCATATAAATTTAGCTAAGTTTTCTTGACAGTGAGAACTTTTGGATTTTTTAAAGAAATTCAATTAGGACTAATAAGGTTTTGATGTGATTTCACACTTGAACTCAATGCTTTCCTTGGGGCAATCAATTTTTTTTAAAAGCACTGTTCCATAGTTCAATCCGACTCTTCGAGAGTGGTCGGAACTACAAAAATAGCAGGTTACTATCAAGTAGTTCATTATGTTCCGATAAGTCATAATTTTTCCCATTTTTTGATTTGTGAAGGGGTGGGTGGCGGAGGCTTAATTTGCAGATATTCGGAACTAATGAGTTGAATATAATTTTGTTTGAGTCGACTTACTTAAATTTTATAGCAGAATATCATACAGCTGAGTTAGTGAAAGAACTTTGCTCTGCTGAGAAAAAATTCTCAAAGCATTTTGCTTGACTTATCAGATTTTTCCAACCGGCGTTTTGACCAAGCATATGCTAGAGGTTTACTTTTATAAAAAATACAGTACAAATACAGCTGCCGTATCAGACTTCTGAGAAAAGTTTTTTGCTCGTAACCGATCTGTTAATTTTTGGCATTAGTTGACGATACTATAGCTTTGTTCAGGGTAACAACTCGATGAGCTGAAATGTTCTCTGATAACCCCTCCAGGCATTTTATTACACTAGTCAACAAAAATTTGCAATATGTAGCTGGTAAATTTAACAAATATAGCATATTTTATAGCAAATAATATTTAATGTTTTTGGTTATTATTTTAATTTATATGTTTTAGCAAAAGCGCTTCACTTTGATTTATTTTTCCATCATTGATTTTTTGTGCTCTGAATTTTCGAGCACATCAATTAATATAATTTCATTTTTACACAAAAAATCAAAAAATGTTTATCTCATTTTCTGTTTTCTCAAACAGGAAAAACTAGCTGAAATTAATTAAATATGGTAGCTCATATGAGAAAATTAAAACTTCCCCACAATATTTTTTTTCTTCAAATTTTTGGCTTGAATTAAAGACTATCTTTGGTATAAATTACTCGATAACAGACCCAGTAGTTTTGCATAGTTTTTAGTTGAATAATATGAGCCATAAACGACCATTTTGCCCAAGTAAATTTTTAAATCTAGGGTTAATTTTTAAATCTGAGTTTTGCAAATTTATTTTTGTTTCCATGTTATTTTTTTGCAATTTCAGGCCAATTTTGTTAAAACACGTTTGAACTTTCCTACTCTGTCCACTTTTATTTAATTAAAATAAATCAGCACAGTAACTTCTCATAGTAAATTTATATAAACTACATCAATCACGCCACTATTGATGCTTTTGCGGTGAAAGATCAGTTATTGTATAGGCATAAATTAGGTTTTTAATTGATTGATCGTTTCCAAACCTTTTCAAACGCTATCATGGGGTTGAAGTAATTGTTTTAATGCAAAAGGAAGCAGACTAATTTTGCCTTCAATTTTCCGAAAAGTAGTCGACTACTTTTCGGAAGTTTGAAGGCGAAATTAATTAGTTTTGTACTGCATGCAAATAATTATTTCATCCAGCTGATGACATTTAAATAGGTTTGTAATACATCAATCAATTAGAATACTTATTGATGTTCACAATATAGACCTACAGCGTCCTTTTTTTTCTCAAATGTTGTCATTAATGGAGTCTTTTTTACCATTTTTGCATTAAAACTGAATAAGAAACAACCAAGGTTTTGACAAATTGGTAGTTTCGTTTGATTCATTTCAGCGACTGAATCACTTAATGAACTAACTGGAAAACAAAACTAAAAGTGTTACCTTTGCTTTGAACGAACGCAATTAAATGATATATTCCAGACGACCACTGTGCTTGCGATCCCTACGCTAAAGGGCTTTGCTTTAAATAGTTGCCCTGGTTTTGCACATAGTTCTTGTTAATTTATTTTAACCACTGTCAAAAAAGCTGCGTAGCATCATTTTGCGAGAATAGTACACCAGCGGAATTTTTGATTCGCTGTTGTTTTGTATTTAAATGCACTTGAAGAAGTATCTCATCAAAGTCAGTTTTGAGCACAAAAAGTCTTGGGTTTTCAGAAGCTTCCGTAGATCAAAAACATGTACTTTTTGAGCATTCGCTGGTCTTCAATCTAACTTGATGTGTTCTGATATTTTGCTATCGACTGTCCTGGCTATATGAAAATATAAAGACTGATCAGGCCATTCATTCTAAATGTTTGTCTACACTAATGAGCTTGCTAGCGTAGTGTATTAGAACGATCATTCTTTTTTTCCAAATTAGCAAAAAAAAAGTGTTCATTAAAAGCGTTCACTTATTTGGCGGCTCTTGCTATAATCAACTATGATCTGTAGCACTGGAAATTTCAGAGCATCTGTTCTATTCTTTGTTTGAGGCTAGTTTTTGTGGTTTATGAAGCGTCCGTGACTGAGTGGTTACCGCGTGAGACTGATAATCTCTTTGTTGCAAATCGAATCCCAGTCCTAGTCGAATTGTTACTATTTGGAGACTTAATTCTAGTTTTCTTTATTGCATTTTATATAGCTGCCCTTTTGTGGTGTTCTCGGCAGTGTTTGCGAAGAGGAGCTTTGCCTCTCTGTCAAGTTTTGGGCTTTCAATTTCCTTGATAAAAATCACTGCCATATCCAAATTTGATGTGATATGCGTTGCGATATCAATTGAAAACAAGTTGTAATTCAATACTGTATTCTGAATATTGAATTTAGTTTTTTCTTTTCTTTGTTTTGGTATTGGTTACTGAGATCTAGATCAGTGCTGAAAAACTCTGATCTGTCACTTAGTCTCAATGTCATTACACACTGTGACCTTGAGTATACCATAAAAGTAATAAGTAAGCACCGTAGGTTGGTTGTACATACATAAACAATTACTGCTACTGCAGTAGCGGTATGACACATCCCCCTCGGTAAGAGAAATAAATTATACAACATAAGTAGAATAATTTATTTAAAAAGAGTTCACTGCACTCAGTTCACAAGAAAGTTGCTGGGTTACTTGAAGGTTTAGTTTATAG